CAAGGTATATGAGATGTTCAAGATGTTTGCAAGGTATATGAGATGTTCATACAAATTAAAAAATATTAAAATTGTTACTGTAACTTATCATAAAACATTTTAAAACCTACAATTCCTCAATTATTTGCTGCTTCTATATACTGAATATATATGAGGTATATGAGATGTTTAAAGAATGGTTTACCATTGCCATCCCCCAATAAGTTTCCATGACTAACCAGGGATTTGAACCCAGGTCTCAGGTTGTAGTCTGACATTCTATCCTGCTAAAGTAGCTAAATTTTGATTAGGTAGGCAACATCCAAATCCAGAACTGTATTGCTTTTGAAACTCCATACAGTTTCAAAAGCTGCTTACCATTTATGACAGAGGAGGACTGAAGGAAAATAAGACTGGAATTCACACAGAATGCCTGAGCATGTGCTTGTTCATGCATGCGCATAAGGGTGCTTTTAAATGAGATTTTTATTATAGAATTGACTTATTTATAGAATTCTCCAGAGTACCCAAATGATACTGCCTTTGATTTGTCTCCGTTGCCCTTTTCCCAACTTTTCCTCTTTTTACTGCAGAAAATATATTATGAAGGAAAAGATGGAACTGCTACACTACCACTGGCACATTAATGTCCATCAAGAAGCAACCTAAGAGAAAACAGCACCATAGGCTTCCCTCCCCCACCCACCTTGTCTGAGTGGATGCCTGTGCGAGGAGGTGGGGCACAGAATTCAGAGTGCCCATACAACACTGTGGGCCAGATCCTCTAAGCCGTGCAAATGGCCAAACCACAGTAAGTGCCCATCTCTATTACAGAAGTTTGCAGGTTTATTTTTTTTACAAACTGAGCATTCACTCACAGCCGCACAGGTACGTAGGTCTGACATCTTGTTGCCTTCTTACGTAGGCAGAAGGCAAGCAGTGTCATAGTCACTCACTTCTAGCAGTAATTTTAAGATTCCTCACTGGGATTTTTGAGTACATGTGCTAAGCTAGTGGGTGCATGCACCCTGAGAACTGCAGCAGCAACTCTTGTTCACCTCAATTCTGCTGTGGTAACATCATCAGCCTCGGTTGTGCTTTAGCAACATCACCAGTCATAGTCATGCCACAGCTGTTTTGGGAAATTAAAAGGTTTCCAACCAAATTGCCAGCACTAGGGATCCCATTTGACCTAGGAAGACATCAGGAGCCAACAGTACCCATTTTCAGGCTTTAATCATCCCCTATCCTGTTCTGTGGCTTCCAAAGACTTCCTAGATTGAAGGGGATTTCTAAGGATCCCTGGAGCCAGGCACACGGGATGGGAAATGTCTAATTTCCTGAAATGGCTATGATTATAGCTGATGATGTCACCAGAATTCTGCTGCATAATTTGTACCAATAATACTCTGGCATTTAACTGTCAGCTGGAAGCAAGAATGTTACACCATTTGCCTTCCACCTGGATAATAAAACAACAGGGTTCAGCCAGTGTGACATTTTCAATACACTGTGGAGCATAATGCTCCTTCAAATATATGAATAATAAGCAAATAAAATTAAAGGCAGCAGGGGAACTGATTAATTTGCCAATATCCTAAAGTGGCTCACTTATTAAGCCACTTCATGATATTGGCAAACTGAAAAGGGAAGGCTTGTTTTGGATTAGTTCCAGCAATCACATCAATTGGAACTGATCCAAACCAGAGCAATCCTGCCCCCACTATAAAAGCAGAAGCCTCTTGATAGGGGCCAGGCTCAGGTAGGAATCCTCAGAGAGTGGGCTGGTACAGAGGTCCCCAATCCCCGGCCCACAGCCCGGTGCCAGTCCGTGGCCTGAGCCAGACCGGGCCATGGAGTCAGACCTCCCACCACCCGCACGCACTCAGCCCCGCACAGCCGATTTGCACATGCGCGCACATTCCAGCATGTCCATGCAAGCGCCGCACTGCCATTTGCACATGCGCACCAGTGCACCCAGACAAGCACCGTGCTACCGCTTGCACATGCGCATGAGCACACGCATGTCCACAAGTGCCACTGTTTGCACATGCGCACGAGTGCACGCTCATTTGTGTGTGAGAGTGTGTGTGCTTGTTCATGCATGCGCATGAGCACAGTGGGGCGCCCCGCCTTCCCCAGCTGGTCCACGGGGTGAAAAAGTTTGGGGACCCCTGGGCTGGTGGATTCCAGCAAATATGTCATCTGACATGTTTAAGAAAGCACCAATCCATCCCTGCAGAGCTCTAAACTGCAGGCTAAACAGCTCATGCTGTCAGCCTCCTATAAACAGTTAACATCAAATATTAACCAAAAGCAAGATTTTCCAACACACATTAAAAGAATGAGCCTTCATTTAACTCTGAGAAACGTAATAAAATTAGTGTGACAGTCGTTTTTCCCCCTTTGTTATATTCTAATTAGAGATGGCGGTATTCATATACGAATACCCTCGCACAGGTGGACATACTGAGGGTCCAGCCCCCTGGGGCCAGACCCGTCCACTCACCTTCTGCTGTTGCTGCAAGCTCCGTGCTCCCTTCCTATCACTCTGGAGATTGTGGTCTGCAAGCCACTCCTGGCAGGAGGACGAGCCTCGCTGCAAGGTCAAAGAATGGCTTGCAGACTGCAAGCTCTGGAGTGATAGGAAAGGAGTGCAGAGCTCGCAGCAACAGCGGAAGGTGAGTGGACAGTCTGGCCCCAGGGGGTTGGACGCTCATTATGTCCACCTGTGTGGGAGTATTCGTATACGAATAACCCTATCTCTAATTCTAATATATTTTTATGTTATAATAATTATTTGAAGTTTTGACAAATATATAAAGTTCCTTATCTAGACACTACCATGATGTGTCATCTCCAATAATCCTGATAAGAGGACATTATTTCCACACATTTTCATGCTATCAGATAGTAATTCATACACATTGGCTGAAATCCTGTTGCTTAATGCAGTAAGTCACAATAGAGTAGGTCCACTAAATAAGTGGGGATTTGGTGAGTAAATTTCTCCATATGTCCCAATTATTCAAATAGGGCTACTCTACTTATGACTTACTTTAGCAGAGAAAATGATTCAATAAACTCCCACTGTTCTAATGGCATACTCTAGCATGACTTGCTATGAAAAGCAACAAGATTTCAGCTAGAGATGGGAGTACAGTGGTGCCTTGCTTAGCGAGCGCTCCGTTTAGCGATGAAATCAATTTGCGCCACATTTTTTGCGATCGCTTTGCGATGTTCCCTATGGGGGAATTTCGCTTCGCGATGATCGGTTCCCCGCTTTGGGAACCAAGCATCGCAAAGCGATGATTTTAAAACAGCTGATCAGCAGTTTCAAAATGGCCGCCTGCTGTTTTCTGGGACGGATTCCTCGCTCTACAGTCACCGAAAATGGCCACGCTATGGAGGATCTTCACTGAACTGTGAGTTTTAAGCCCATAGAAATGCATTAATCAGGTTTTAATGCATTTCTATGGGCTTTTTTTATTTCGCATTAAGACGTTTTTGTTCAACAGCGATTTTTGCAGAACGAATTAACGTCGCAATGCGAGGCACCACTGTATTCGTATTCTTATATGAATATCCCTGCACAGGTGGCATTAACAAGGGTTCAGCCCCATGGGCCCAGACGGTCCACTCACCGATCCAATGTGGACAGCGTGATTCTACCAATGGCTCCGCAGCGCGCAATTCGCTCACCACTCTTTGACCTTCCAGCGAGGCTTGTCCTCCCACCTCCTGCCAGGAGTGGTGAGCAGATTGCGTGCTGCATAGCCATTGGTAGAATCATACGGTTCATGGCAGATCAGTGAGTGGACTGTCCGGCCCCATGGGGCTGGACTCTTATTAATGACACCTTTGTGGAGATATTTGTATACAAATATGAATACCCTCATCTCTAATTTCAGCCATTATGGCCTGAAGCTTGTTTTCAAATATATTCCAGCACAAGATTATCAACCTTCCAAAATAGTTCATTTCTGCACCTGAACTGTCTTTTCCAAGTTTCTAAAATTGGTAGACGAGACTATATAAATGACATGGTTATATGAAAGAAATCAGAAGTTAAAATGTTCCATTGAGAACTTCTGTGAAAGTCTGAATATCAGATTGTTCAAGAAGCAATAGGCATATGGCTTCAGGCAGTCTGGTAGCTTGACCTATATGTGCCTTACTCTGCAGTGGACTGTGGCTATAATACATTATTATGTGGCTATTATACACAATTATTCTTTGAAACAAAGGAAGGCAAAGTATCTACATGCAAGTTAACAGATCACATGTTTTAAAAAGACTTTTCAGGCCAAGGACACATTGTACAAGTTTTACAAAACATCGGCTGTCTTGGTGTAACATGCCCATATCAAAGCCAAGAAATAAATTCTAAAACTTGGACAGATAGTCACAGTTATTGCAGAACCAAATTAGTCATCCCAACCAACCACTTTTTTTTATTTCTCATGGCATTGTCAGTTTGTGTGTGTGTGTGCCACAGGACAGCAATTTTATAACAAAAGTATATTATCCATAGGTATGAATCTATGGGTTGCAAAATTAGTAATTGCATGTATTTAAGCTAAAACACCAAAGTTCCATTAATCTTGAAAATACTTAGTATTCACAAGTGTAGATGCTATTGCTTGTTCTGCTTTATTGTGGT